AGCTGAGGAGGGAACTAAAGGTGGGTGACGTAGTCGTGCTGCTAATGGACGAAGGATCTGCGGCCGCGGGACTCGGGGGAAGCGAGACTCCTAAGTGGATGTCGCCGCAGTGGTCGCTCCCGTGCAGGGTGAGCGCCGTAACACCCACCCAGGTGACGGTCCGGAAGTACAACGACCCCAAGAAAACGGTCGTCGTACACAAGAACAAGGTTCGGAAGTTCGAGATGAGTAAAGACCCGGTACTACGGTCCCTAACGGGAGACTACTTGGAGATCGCGACCCCGGTGACGGACACGCCAGAAGACTCTCGCAAGCGCCCGAGGCGGGCAGTCGCACCCGAGGACGAGCTGGCGGCCCAGCGAGTGAGAGAACTATTCGGCGAGACCGCAGTTGGCGAGGAGGGGCGTGAGCCGTCGTAGGCCTCCGTGGGACGCCAACCACGCGGTGCCGCTCGGGATGTCGCAGGACAGAACGTGTCCGCACGTAACGGGTGAGGGTGAATAAAAAGGGTTTTTTTGGGGGACAACATGACTGGCAGTGAGCGCCCGTTACCAGCAACAACGCACCTCGACGACGACGAGAACGCTCACCTCACTCTCAGGGGCTGCTGGGCCGGCACACCCGCATCGGCACAATCTGTTTGGAAAGTGTGTGTGGAGGCCTTTGTCGCAAATATGCCTGATGTCTTTCATATCCCAAAAGACATTCAGACTGGGACCAGCTTCAAAGAGCAACAGCGCCAGCAATTCTTCTAGAACCATCCCAGAATCATCTGCAGTGGTTGTCCATAAGCTAGTGTGTTGGCATTTCAGAAACGGGATTTTTATCCGCTGCAAATCGGGGCCGAAGGTTAGTCACCCCCGGTGGCTCGTCACGGCATGCTCAGCAGGCTTATCTGAGTCGTCATTGTGGGGTTGATGATTCTCGCCACGAATTTTGCGCTTCTGCCATTGGTGGTTCTCGACCAGTTATGAAACACATCGGATCGGGTTGCAGCCCCATGAATGTGCTGCCCCATGAATGTGCTGCCCATGAATGTGCTGCCCATAAATGTACTGCCTCATCCCCTCCAAATATACAGAGCGAAAATGATGAACGAAAATAGCTCCGTCATAAACGAATGGTTCTCCATAACAGCAACGCATGATATCACGCGGTGGGTTGGCGTAGATGAATTCTACATGGTCACTATGGACACAGAAGGTTCGGCCCGCTCCGGGATGTAGACGATTTCGGTTGGCGAGTGGTACCGGTCTTGGTCTGTTTGGCACACGAAGGTCACATCGTGTCTTCAATGTTTCCTCCTACCCGAATGGATAGCTCAGCAAGGTCGGTAAAGAATCGTCCAGCGTCTAGTGGCACGACGCCTTTTGGGACATGTCCGTACTTCTGCCCCCGCCATTATCCGGGGTTCCTCGTCGGCTCGACCGCTCGATGCTAGCGACAGGTCGTCCCAGTTTGCCGTTGCATCGACTTGGGCGCCTAGGTTACGGGATGACTGCCAGAACGACTTGGTCCCGTAACCAAGTGTTGTGGTACCCCGGCGCTAAGGGAAGCGGTGAGCCAGCTGCAGTAACAGTGTAAGCACCAACTCAAAGACGGCATATGTCCCTCGCCGTTCCAGCTCTTCTATCGGCGGCTAGCACCAACGCTGCCTGTTGGCTCAGTCTCGAGAGTTATCGTCATTCCTGACGACCATGCTGCTCGCTCCCATACCCACTTCAACATGCAGCTAGCCCTCATGGCCTCCAATCTTGGGGGTTTCAACCCTTATCAATGTTCATGCTTCCGGTTGTTTGTTCTGAGAAAAACATGTCCTATCCAGAGAAAGACGCGTACATGTTCTCAAACCGGATGGTCAGTGGATCGATCCATGCTGTGCGTTAGACGCGACAACGGTGCGAAAACTGTTCCGACAAGTGCGAAGGAATATGGTATTCTACGCAGCTTCCTTATCCAGATATGTCGTCGATCCGACCTCCATGCCACAGAGACCTCCATGCCACAGAGACCTCCATGCCACAGAGACCTCCATGCCACAGAGACCTCCATGCCACAGAAAGGTTCTACCTGGGTCAACAGTCAAATGACTCAGTCGGCGGGCCAGGAGACAGCTTCGAACGAGACAGATCACCGCCACCTGATCGACGCATGAGAGATTGGTTCAGGCTGTGTGTGGGATGTAGTCTATTTGCATTGAAACTGGTACTGCCCCGACCGCTGCCATCGCAAGCACCGGTTGTGGTTCCCGAGGGTCTGGTTCTCCGATACGAGACTGCCGCCCTCATGAGGCTCCCGGCTCGGTTCAAAGGTCGCCGTGGATGGCATTCTCGAATCGCTGCTCTTCGAGCTCGTCGACCCCTGGTTCCAACGTGGGCGTACCACCTGATACGCCAGTTGCTGTATTGAAACCAATTTGTTGCAGCGGATGCCAGTGGGTCCAATGATAGGTTACTTACAGGGAATTTGTCGACGTGGCACGGGGGTTAGCCAGGATCGGCGATGAGTAACCCCTCAGCTTTGTAGTTCTCGACATTCAAGAAATTCGCTTAGACTAGTCCGGGGGTTAGAGTCTGGTTATACATAGCCCGAAGGGGCCAGATAGAGGCTGGTAGCCGTCGGGGTCCGTCACAAAGTTTCCGAAGCGGCGTGCTCCGAGCCATTCCGCGTCGCCGTGAGATGTCACCATTGGGCTGACCCTCCAGCCTCATTCAACCCAGGGGCTAGACTCTAAGTCCTTACGTAGCCCAGAACCCGTTAATATTTCTCTCAGAAATGTCACTAGTCATCCACGCTGCCCTTCACTCTCTGCTGCCAACCTTTGGTCTCTGCTGGACTTTGCCTAATGATGTTCCAGATATACCCATTCACGGCACACTACGAGAGAGCGACGAAGCGCCCGACGAGTCCCAGGAAGCCTCGAGAGCTGACTCTGAAAGCCAAGGCAAACGCGGTGTGCTGTACACCACAGCCATATATGATGACAGGCAATGTTCTATGCTGCAAGCCTTCATTAAAGAAAGCTTGGACCCAAACCAACAAGTTTATCTCTACGTGAATAAGAGCGCATACCTCAGCAGCATTGTAACCAGACACCACAAAAATGCATCGACTCGGTGGGGGGGGGGGGGGGGGGGGGG